AAGTAGAAGGAATTGTTAGTTTACTTTTTTGCTTTATTCATTTTTTTAAGAATACAAGTTTTCGCCAGGCTCGGTGGCTCAGCCTGTAATCCCGCGCCTTTGGGAGGCTGAGGTGAGTGAATTGCCTGAGCCCATGGGTTCGAGACCCGCGTGGGCAGAGAGACCTCATCTCTACAATAAATCAAAAAATCAGCTGGGCGTGGTAGCGCATGCCTGTAATTCCGGGTACTCCGAAGGCTGAGGCAGAAGAATCGCCGGAGCCCAGCAGGCCGAGGCTGCGGTGGCCAGGAGCAGCCACTGCACTCCAGTCTGGGTGACAGAGTGAGACTCCAACTCAAAAAAAAAAAAAAAAAAATACAGGTTTTCTGTTTCCAACGGTCAGGTAAATAACTTTGAAAAATTATTCAACTGACATAAAGGAATCAGCTATGGCAGAATTTAGATGTGGTCAATGAACTCAACAAAATGTGCTTCTTCTGAATCCAGGGTGGAGGATTAGTCTTACTAAGGCTATGATCATTCTCTTGAGATTTAGTCTCTGCAAAAGACGAAAATGTTTAAAGTCTGAGATATACTAATCACAATTAAAAAGTGAATTTTGTTTTGTCCTGAGATAATTGAACTACCTTTCCCCAGTGAATCACTTATACCTGGGAGAGTAGCTTAAGAATTTAGAAAAGAACAAGAAGTATTTCATGACCCTGAGCCTTCATTGATCACAGTAGTTAATTAAATGGCACAAGGTAGACCAGTTTCTGCCTCTGGCTTTCAGAATTCCATTAAAAATGCAATCCATATTCATTTCTACGAGAATATAGTCCTAACTTCATTAAGTTATTTATTCAACAAAATTAATAAATTTGCTTGATTGAGCAGACACTATCCTTGGTTCTGGTAGAGGAGCCAGCAAAGTTAATCGTCTCCATTCCTCCATGCAACTTGCTGTCTGGAGTTGGGAGGAGGCAGTTATTAAAGGGTGATAGGAAAAAAGTAAAGGCATTGTGTGATCTGCTGCCCTTTCCCAGCATCTTTCTTATCCCAGTTCGTCCCCTCCTTTCATTTGGTCCCTCTAGTTCATGTACATTTGTCTTCTTGCAATCCCTTTAACAAAACAAAGAGCATCTTGCCTCAGGGCCTTTGTATTTACCATGCGTACACTCAGAAAACTCTTCCACAAGCACTTACATGTATTATCCCTGTTCAGGCCTTACTCAAATGCTATTTTCACAGAGAGCTCCTCTCTGACTCAACCACTCCCTATTCTGTTGTCTGCTTTGGTTTTCTTCAAAGCATCACTCATTTCATGTCAAATGCACACATATATGTATGTGTTCATAATGCATTCGATGTAGATAATAAAATCTTCTTCACTGAAAAATAATTTTAATGAGATATGGAATTTTATTTTTTACCTGCTATATCTCCCATACCTGTGATATACAAACTCTTCAACAAATATCTTTTGAATTACTGCCCATTTTCTTGTTCAAAGCAAAAACTAAAAAACATGTAACCTAAAATACAATTTGTAACTTAACATAGAGAATAATTTTTGTAAGTTATTTATTTATTATAGAGCGTGGGGTACAAGTGAAGATTTACTACATAAGTATACCATACGCAGGCAAAGTTTGGTCTTCTGGGTGGCACTCTCTTCCCCTGGTAATGGACCAGGTACGTTTTGTGTTGTCACACGCCCCCATTCTTCTTCCTCCCTCCCTCCCTCCCCTAACAATTGCCAAGGACACTGAGACTAGTCATATTAACATAAAGGTGAGATCTGCAGCCACTGAAAAGACTATTTTAAACTCAATCACATTTAAGTATGTCTCTAAGGTATAGTTCCCTCTAGTAGTATAAAGGGGGTGCTATTAATTTATAGAGTAACAACTAAATAGGGAAAACTACTTTATTGATATTTTCATGTGTCCAAAGTTCTAGATGCCGGGTTGTTAAGTTAATGTATGAATCTGGAACCCAGGTGAGAATTCAAGTCTAAAGATACAGATTTTACAATTATTACACATTTCTTAGATTACCTAAAGATTGGGTGAAGATGGAGAACCAGACATTAAGAATTAAGAAATTTCCTCCAAGATTTGGAGACTAGCATGAGAAGGGGGTAGAGCCATAAAAGTTAGCTGGGAAGAGATAGGAATTGAAGAAAAAATAAATACTAAAGAGTGAGTGATATAGAAAACTAGAATGGGATGTGTCAAGGTAAGTCAAGGAATTAATTGTGGCAAATCTTCCTGAGATATCAAGTCAAAGTGACACAGAAAAGTAATCTTTGAATGCGTAGCATTGAAGTATCATGTGTCCTTGACAAGATTAGGTTCGATGGAGAGATGTTACAGAAACACAACTGGAAATTGTATGAAGTAAATGGTATATGCATAAGCCGAGGTAAAGAGCAGTCATTTTTATTTAAAGTTTAGTTTTAAAGCAAGTAGAGATAAATTAATAAGCTAGTGACTGTTGGGACTTTTAGTCAAGGAAATTATTAAGAAACGTGATATTAGACAATGTCAACAAATCAGGATATTACAGTGGAGCTGGAGATGCTAATGCTTGGGTAAAGTATGGATACAATATTTGAAGTAAAGTTGATGGAAAGTTCAAAGAAGTGAAAGAGTTGGTCTTAGGTAAAAGCAAAGACACAGTATCTATAAAGACAGGAAATGTCATATGGGAAGATTTAGAGGTGGTAATATGGGTATAATCATATCTTTGTGGTTTGGAAGATAAATTATAGGTAATATCAGCAACTGAAAGTAGAATGAAATAGGCAGTTTAAGTGGAGGCACAGCCAAGCAACAATTGAGTTTAACTAAGCTGGTATTTAGACAGATGAATAGACTGGAGGGAAAGCAGTCAGAATTGAGGGTGAGTGACAGTGTGCCATCATAGTCTAGACCATGGAATCTCAGCTGAGTAATGAGTGAAATGTAAACCTAAGAGTGGTGATTGGATGGGCATGGTGGCTCAAGCCTGTAATCCCAGCACTTTGGGAGTCCGAGTTGAGATAATTGCCTGTGCCCAGAGGTTCAAGGCCAGCCTGGGCAACTTGGCAAGATCTCATCTCCACAATAGATCAAAAAATTAGCCGGGCATGGTAACATGCACCTGTAGTTCCAGCTACTTGGAAGGCTGAGGTGGAAGGATTTCCTGAGTCCAGCAGGTCGATGCTAGGGTGGCTGTGAGCATGCCAGTGCACTCCAGTCTGGGCGATGGAGTGAGACTCCAACTCAAAAAAATAAATAAATAAAGAGTAGTGATGAAAAATCATAAAGGTTCACTTTCCTTGGATTGATGATTAAGAAGGAGATTAAAGGCTGAATATTACAGTAGATAAACTAGAATAAAAGGAAACATGAAGGAGAGTGAAAAGCATGATACAGTTTTGGATATCTTTGAGAGAAACCTTGGTTAACAGTTGAAAGAAGTTATAGGGGTATGAGGGGAACGTTCAAGGGACTCAGAATGAGATAACCCTTCCTTTATGGTTTCTAACAAATTTTTCAGAAATGAGATAGAACATGCAGAGCACTGATGTTCTCCCTTATGGTCTACAGTGGATGGTAGAATAAAAAGAAATATGACTAAACATTTACCTAATTCCAAATCATTACTTAGCCATCCTTCAACATTCCATCTCGTCAAAGAATTCCATTGTCTCATTTTGTTCCAACATTGATAGTTCCCCCCACTACAGTAAGCAGTAAACAGCTAATTTAATTTCACAAATGTTTATTGAAAGCTATGCGAAACCTTAGAAGAAGTAGAGATAAAAAGTTAAAACACATTGATTACTACCACTAAGAAATTCTAATTAAGCCGGGCTTGGTGGCCCAGCCTGTAATCTCGTGCTTTGGGAGACTGAGGTGAGTGGATTACCTGAGTCCACAGGTTTGAGAGCTGCCTGGGCAACTTGGCGAGACCTCATCTCTACAATAAATCAAAATGAGCCGGGCGTGGTAGCTCGCACCTGTAGTTCCAGCTACTTGGAAGGCTGAGGCAGAAGGATCGCCAGAGTCCAGCAGGTCGAAGCTGCGGTGGCCGGGAGCGTGCCACTGAACTCCAGTCTGGGCGACAGAGTGAGACTCCAACTCACAAAAAAAAAAAAAGAAATTCTACTTAATTCAAAAATAAGTACAATATTCCCCCATTATTGTTGTGGTTTTCATAGTACTATAATACCTGAGAGAACTCATTCACATCTTTTATTTGTTACTCTTCACATTCATGTGAGAGGATGAGTGTTATTATTTATTGTGGATATTGGACACATTATGCAGATTTGCCTATCAGGTTGAAGTGTCCATTATTCCGGCTTCCAGGTGTATGGGCACCTGGCAGTTGACACCTGACTTACACTCTTGGAATTTTCCCTGCCTTGTCTTGCTCATAATACCCTCTCCAACATGGTAATTAACATCCCAAACAGGCCATTGTGGAGATACAAACACCTGGCCCTTTTTACTCAATTTGGGATACCTCTGAAGGACCATTTCAGCTCCAGAACATCATGTGGAATTGGCTGAGTCCTCTCTTGCAGCTTTCTCACAATTCAGTTCCTTCTGTGCAATCCTGCTTCCCTCACAATATCCCCCTCTCCCTGCCCCGGAACACTCTCCCATAAACTTCCTGCATATAAATGTCTTCCTCAGAGTCTCTTTGCCTAGAATAGACTATTTGCCTGGAACCCAACCAAAGAAACCAAAGTATATATAATAAAACTGAGATTCACATAAACTACATATTGAAATAGACACTTAAGCTCAGATTATCCAATTCCAAGTGTTCTGAGACATTTGCCAGACACCATTTTATCCACTATATTAATTGATCAGATGGACCCATTGTAAATATACTTAGTTTCTATGAGATTAAGAAGTGTGCTTCATTTTAAATAACTTACTTTGATACAGAGAAAAAGCTAAAGCAATCAATTAATATGAGCATACATTTTCACCTACGTAACAAATGGTAGCATGGCTTTATAAAATGTGCTTCTGTTAGACCTTCTTTAGGGCCTCTTTCACATGCTTATTTTTCAAACTATGGATGAGGGTATTTAGCATAGGGATTACTACTGTATAAAAGACAGCAACAAACTTGTCTTGATCCATAGAGTAGCTAGATGTTGGATGCAAGTACATGAAAAGAATTGTCCCAAAGAATATGGTGACAGTCATGAGGTGAGAGGCACAGGTGGAGAAGGCTTTGTCCTTGTCTTCTAATGAAGGCATCCTCAAGATGGCAATGAGGATACACAGGTAGGAAATGAGGACAATTGTAACACAGCTGATGACATTAAAACTGGAGAAAGCCATGATCCCAATGCCATTTATGTAGGTATCAGAGCAAGAGAGTTCGAGAAGGGGTGGGGTGTCACAGTAGAAATGGTTGATCCTATTAGAGCCACAAAAGGACAATCTGAAAGTCAACCCTGCGTGTAAGGCTGCATTTCCAAAGCCTGCTAGGAATGAGGTAGCTACTAGTAAGAAGCAAATTATCTCAGACATGATGGTGGGGTATAGCAGTGTGTTCCAAATGACTGCATACTGATCATATGCCATCATGGCCAACACGAAGCATTCATCTCCAAGAAGGAGCCAAAGAAGTAGAACTGGGCAGCACAACCATTCAAAGATAGGGACTTATTCTCAGTCACAAGATTCACCAGCATCTTGGGAGTGACAGAAGAAGAGTAAGAGGCATCAACAAAGGAGAGGCTGCTGAGAAAGAAATACATCGGGGTGTGGAGACAGGGGTCAATCTTAATCAACACGATCATCCCCAAATTACCCACCATGGCTGCCATATAGATTGACAGGAACAATCCAAAGAGGACACCTTGGAGATCCGGATTGTCTGAGAGTCCTAAGAGGATAAATTCTTTCACTTCTGTTTGATTTCTTCCTCGGATCTCTTTCATGTGACTGATCATTTGTTCTGCAATAAAAAAGAAGATGGACCCGGAATTTGGTCAGATGAATGCATGTTGGAGATATAAATGTATTTTAACTAAATATGTAAATTCTAATAGAAGAATGAAAAGTGAAAATCATAGTAAAAAGTGTGTTGGATCAAGCTGGGCTCGGTGGCTCAGCCTGTAATCCCGTGCCTTTGGGAGGCTGAGGTGAGTGGATTGCCTGAGCCCGTGGGTTCGAGACCCGCCTGGGCAGGCAAGACCTCATCTCTACAATAAATCAAAAAATCAGCCAGGCGTGGTAGCACGTGCCTGTAGTTCCAGCTACATGGAAGGCTGAGGCGGAAGGATCCCCAGAGCCCAGCAGGTCGAGGCTGCGGTGGCCGGGAGCGGCCACTACACTCCAGTCTGGGCGACAGAGTGAGACTCCAACTCAAAAAAAAAAAAAAGTGTGTTGGATCTGAGGTCAATTCAAAAGACTTGTTTCTGAGTACTAGTGTGCTGTCTACTAACTAATGACCTTGAGGAAAGTGATATAGTATCCATCAACTATGATCATTTTGGCATTAAACATTTATTGAATAATTAAAAGATCTTGTTCATAATATGTGGTTCTCCTAATTATGTATTATAAATAAATTAATTGATATATTAATATATTATCCAGACACAATTTCTGGAGAAGGATAACAGAATAAATTCAGATATCTGACAATTCTTCCTCAGTACTAATGGAATATATTTAAAATATTGAAAATTAGTAAAATTATTCAATAGTGGCATGCAAAGAAAATAGTTGAATCTCCTGAGGTGGATGGAGAAATTTTAAATGTATGGCCAAGGAAAGAGAGAATATTCCCATGCAAGCTATAGAGTACAAATCACACTTCAATTTCCTAGAATCAAAATCCACAGTGGAAAAAGGGGAATAAATTAAATATTAATTATGCCAGTAATTCACTCTAATATTTAGAGAATCGAATTGTAAGAATTAGTAAATATTCCTGATGAAAATGACAAAACTAGCCAAGCATGTGAAAATCCCTAACTCAGATTCACAAGCTCACAAGAGAACCAGGAAACATCAGAAGTAACATTTGGAGTTTTTCAGCTATGAAACTGAATAATTTAAGACCATGTAAGCAAAATGGAAGTAGATTCATTCCTTTTAAGGCATAACAAAGGCAAATATAGGATAGCAAAAGAAAAACAAACAAGCAAATAAAAAACTTAGAATACACACTCAGACTAGATCTTCCAAGTCAGAGTTTAAACCACAGCTTCACTGGAACCCATCTTTGCTTCTACTGAAATTCCTCATCCTTCCTCATCCTCAGATTATTGAACAAAAAAGAAAATGTACTGGGCTAGTTAACAAAATATGGCTCAGACTGTAAGACAAAGGTAAATTCGTCATCCATCACATAAAGAAGTTATTTGATAGTGTCTAAAATTAAAACATGGGGTCAAAATTACCCGGTACCTTTGCTGACATTGGCGATAAAGGGTCTACTGTACACAGCAGGGGAGAAGAGTGGGCAGGAGCTGACTCCCTTCTCACAGTCACTGCCATAGCTCAGTGTTCTTGAGATAAGAGCTTGATATCTCAATCAGTAATAAAACCTGGTATTTTAATGAAATACTAACAGTTTCAAAGTATCATTGCACCTGTTTTCTTATATGAGGCTTATCACCAATAGTGAAAGTTAGCCATGAAATATCCTAAGAGTATTATTACAAATATCTTTTGTGAGATGAAGTCAGCATAATGTGGAGTGTTTCATCTAATCAGTGGTGAATTCTGGGCTAGAATATAGGTCTCCTGATGCTAAATTATTTTGTTTGTCAGCAAAATATCGCTTCTCTCTGTATTTCACTGGCACAAATGTACAGCCTAGATGCTCTTTCTTGGAGTTATCTTACTGTTTGAACATCATAGAACAGAATTTCCAGAAAAGAAAAGAAAAAGAATGAATGGATGTTTTTCTCTCATCTCTAAACAGGAAGTTTCCCTGAACGTTACTTTAACAAATAGTGAAAAGAATAAAATGCCTAAACAAACCAAGCACACAAAGAAAGTAATAATAAATAAAAAAACAAGTTCGAAATGCACTAAAATCTACTAAGGATTCACTATGCCCCACAAGCACTGTCCTAAGTGTTTTCCCTGTAAAATTGTATTTAAATTTTATGTGATATGCAGGTTATCATCCCTTTTTGGAGAGGGGAAATGTGAGTTAACTCAGAAAGTTAACTTACACAAAGTCACAAAGTTAGCCTAATGTTCTCTAAATTAATACCCAGCAGATGTAAGTCCCATTCTCTTAACATTTGGGATGATTTAGAATGGCCCTTGTCAATAATAGTTGTGAGTACTAATACAGAGTGCTTGTAGAATACATTTAGTTACACTAAAATCAGCATTATATCTCCTGAAGAAAAAGAAATATATAATTAAATTTGTTAAAACATGTCTTTCTTGGAATTTACATTAATTAACTTGAATGATGTAAAATATCATTTTTTCACATCTTGGGCTGTGAATACTTGCTTCTGTTTCCCTCTACACTCTGAACTCTATGTTTTCTTATGTTCTGTAATACTTTCCCTCCCCCTGCTGAGATTTTTCAGACAACCCTCTAGTCCAGTGATTCTTGATCTGGGTTTTTAATTTCTAAAGGTTTCTAAAATAATACTGAAATTTTCTGAGATATTTCTAGTGTTTAAAAAAATCTTTAAAATCACATTTTACTTCCTACTTACATTTGTCCTAATGACTTATAAATTTTATAGTAACAAAAATGGACTTAGCATTTATTTAACATACTTTCTTAGCTACTCAGTGCTCTTCGACCCTTGGGTAGATAAGTGCATAAGGAGATAACAGGATTGTGATTTTTTTTTTGTCAGTAAGGTAACTCTTTATATCTTTTCCTTATCTTTTGTTAGGTTTCAATTTGATCCTTTTGCTTGTTCTTGGTCAATACTTAAATTCCCCAGATAAAAGCAGATGAAAACTCATAAATTCTTCTTAGAAAAATCATTCACTTTAATTTTCCCAGGTTAAGCAAGTGGCATAGTTGGAATGGATTTTATAGAACATCTGTTAAAAAGTAGAAAGTCTGAAACCTTTTACACCTTCCCTGTGATGACAGTTAATCTGCATTCAGCAGAGTTTGAGTCTTTTTTTCCTTTCCTTTTCCTTATAGATAAATGTCCCAATGAGTTATATTAGGGTTAAATATAATTCAAAATATAGCATATGCAGTGGCAGTGCAGCTGTAATATCATTTACGGTTAATTCCAGTTGTGCAGTCTCTGAAATAAACTCTGGAGTAAGCATCCTAATTCACTTTAGGTAAAATATATCTTGTTTTTTGGTCTCTGAGGACAGTGTCTCTTATGCCACCTCATTATAATCTACTTGTTTTTCCCCTCTGAAATTAAGAAAATCGTGGGTCTTTTAAAAATATTTATCTCCTTTACTTTTGGGACACCTGGTCTCAGTGGAGAATGACTTTTGAGTCCCATACTCCTAACCCAGCACTAAACATCTTCACCTATCTCCCTTGGTAGCTGTGATGTGGTTCCTTTGGAAGAATCAAAAAAAACACACAAAATGGCAGGTTACCTCTACCTCTAAAACCTTCCACCTTTTAAGTGGAAAGCGACTTATATATGTCGCTGTGCTACCTGGATGACAGTGAGGAAGCTGAGTAGGGGAGATATAGAGAGAGAGGTAGAAAGAACAGGACCCTCTTGGTTTGGAATCCTTACTGTGTGTCTCACTGATTGTGTGACTGAGAATTTCATTAAAATTATCTGGAACTTTTCATTTTTCATCTCTAATGCCTACCTCATAGGGTGATTCTGGAGATGAAATAAATTAATAAATGCGAGTTGTGGCATTCAATACGTATTGGATGCCACAACTCACATTCATCAGATATACATAGATAACAAATAAAAGTTTTCCCTCACCCTAACATTCCCCACCACTCTCTAGACTTAGAAATAGCTATCACCTAGATTGAGAATATGGGATGTCCCGTTGCCCAAAACATCTTCAATATAAGAGACACAGAATCTGAAAAAAAAGTATTGATTTCTGGTGATCATCTATACTATTTATGCTACTATGAAGACATTATAATTAATTTGTCTGTTAGTAGTCAATGCAATATGCACTAGATGCCAGGGAATATAAAGACTTAAAAGATATGTTGTTTTATGTCCAGTCATTTAGACAAGAAATATTTTAAATATCTTGCCCTTTTTATAGTTATTTGAGAAGAAAAAAATACAGTAGAGTCTTATCAATGCAGAGTCTCAAACATAAGTGGTAAACAATGGAGATATATCCAATAAATAAATAACTTATTTAAATGTGAGTTAGTTGCTACATGAAAACAAACTGTGATAAATTAATTGAAATTAAGTTTTGTGCAACTGGATATGAATGAAGCTTGGAAGAAAGATTACACGGCACAAGGAGGTCAGTGGTAAGGGACACTGGACATCAGGATTTTCAGCAATAAACTGCAGCAAATGAGACTGCTGGGAGGATAGATGGTAAGTCCTAGTCAGTTCCAGGCTATGAAGAACTTCAGAATATGAAGGGAACTTATTCTAGCTTGAGTGTCATCAGAAAGGTACCAGACATTTTTTATACAACATGCAACAGTGAAAAAAGATCTCATAAAACATGCACCCAGTTATAAACACAGATTGCACAATGTGCAACAGTAAAAGGCATATCTCATATACCATGCACTCAGTGTAAACACTTCTTACACAATGTGAAGCAGTGAAAGACACATCTTATACAACATGCATCCAGTTATAACTACATCCTATACCATGAGCAACAGTGACAGATGCATCTCATACAACACGCTCCCAGTACAGATACTTTTTGTAAAATGTGCAACTGTGAAAGATACATCTCATACAACATGGAAAATAAAGGTCACCAGATAATGCAATATTGCCCTGACACCAGTTTGTGGACCAATCAT